AGGCAGTGAAGGACAGGAAGGCCTGGCGCAATATGGTTCATGGGATCACGAAGAGTCAGACACAACAACTGAACAACAACAACAAAATAGTTTCAGATATTGTATTCTTGGGGAAAATGAATGGTGACTTGCCTCTTTGCTGACTCAAATGCAGTAGTTAGTCTAGATCCATTTCAGTTTAACTTCAAAGTTTTTGTATTGGCTGTTCTTATGAATAACTGTTAATTTTCATGAATCTCTCAGTTGATCTCAGTACCAAAAGTTATGGCAACATTTTTCTTTGCTTTGAACAGAGGGAGCTAGGGAATATCATGTTAAGACTTCTCCAGAAACTTCTGGAAGACTAGTTTGCTTTAAAACACTTAAGGGGTGCCACAAAGTCCCTGCTTGTTCTACATGCCTTTCAACATCCACTTTTATTTGCTGGGAGTAGAGAACAGTGATTTAGACTACAGTTTATTTGGTATTCTGATGATACCTAGTTTTGTCTTTTATTTAACTCTAATCCTATGGAGGGAATGGAATTTTGCTTGAGAACTTTGAAGAGCTGTATGTTGTAAATCAGTGAATCCAGATAAAAGACTGTTTAAGGATCATCTGATGTCCTAGCAGTGCCCTTTCTGGACAAGGCAGGCTTGGCCACATCATATTTTAGTACTTGGGAGGCTGAATTATTGCAGCAAATTCAGTAGCATTCAATAAAAAAATTAAAAATTCAATAAAAGAGTCCTGAAACAATAGGAATTACCTCTTTATATGTAGATATAGTAGGGCTGGTTCTTATTGTTAGGTCCTGAGTATTGTAATTTGTTTTTTCCCCTGTGTGCTTTATTTGAATTCTGTATGCTAAAAAATGTAGGGTAGGAACATGGCTTTCTCAGTGCTGATATTCAGTGTTCAAAAGTGTTCTCTCTATTGAGGCTTATTTTACCCAATATTCATCACATCTTGTTGCATAGTTTTTGTTCCTCTTTGTATTGGTTTTCTTCCCCTCATATTTTGCTGACACATTTTTTTTGTAACTTGTTAGATGCGGATGATGATTTTTAGTAATAATTTTATCAATAATTTTATTTTATCATTTATAAGCTTTGATTTTTATATTAAAGAAGAGAATTTTTTTACAATAAGTAGTAGATTATATTTTACAAGGAATGTTGGCAATGTAGTTATTTTAATGTGATACTGCATCATTGCAATATAGTCCTTTCTCAGTTGAAATTCTCAAATGAATATTAAACATGTGAAACTAGATAATCAATTAGTTTTCCATTTTATGGCTTCAGATTAATACTTGGTTTTAAGTCATACAATCTCAGAATGGGTCTGTGGTTTTGTGGAATCTGATGAAGCTTGTGACCAGTTTACACTTTTTAGAATAATCTTAAATCAATGTTTTAGGATATATTGCCAATGAAAATAAAAGCAATACGGATTGTTTTATATGGTCTGTATTGCTTTTTTTAGTATCTGAATTCTAGTTGTACACATTCCTAATGCACTGATCCTAAGAAAGTATTGAACTCCCTCTGCACCTGTTCTTTGTAAAACAAATGGATAATTGTAGAAAGTAGTATACCAGACACTATTTTAGACAAATTCATGGTAGATTGGCTTAGAAAAAAATCATGACATGATTTTTTTTCCTTTCTAGTTGCAAGACACTGTTAAGAGATGGTTCAAGAAAATCTACCTCGCAAATTCCATTTGTTTGCCCATGTGCTGCATCACTGGAGATCTCAACAGGAACTTGTCAATTATTCTTGAAAGTCTCAGGAGAACATATGGACATCAGGTCAATGTATTACACTCTAGGAATGGGTCAAAATACGAAGCGTTCTTGATTCAGCAGGCCAATCCATCACCAATAAGCGTGTTAAGAAAACTTAAAAAGACTTCAAAGAATACCCTCTGTAGTTTCTTCTTAATTATTCAGGATATAGTAGCTTGACATCTTTACTTCTGAAATCAACCGACTTTTCTAATCTTGTCTTGGAAATATTAAATGGAATGCAGTCATGTCTACCCAGGAGGAAATACAGATCAATACAGAATATGCTGTATCCTTACTGGAACAGTTAAAATTGTTCTATGAACAGCAGTTGCTAACTGACATTGTTTTAATTGTTGAGGGCACTGAATTCCCATGCCATAAGATGGTTCTTGCTACATGTAGCTCTTACTTCAGGTATGTGTTTAAAGTAATGCTACTTTTTCCAAGAAATATGTATTCAAAATATCTCTGCATAGTACAATTTATTAAGCAGATTCTACTACTAACTTGAAGTAAATGAAGAACTCAAGTATTATACAATTTAAACTCAGGTTAACAAATATGGAAGAATTGAACTAATAGGCTTGTGAAGTATTTCAGGGTTATTGTCAACATGGAACATAAAAATGGCCATCAAATACATGATGTTTATTTCAACAGAGTCATGCACTGGGGCAAGAATAGGCAAATTTTTGCTGTCCCTGGGCATCCTTGGAATTCCAAAACATCTTATAGGTGCTCTCGGAAGAAAAGTGGTGATATTGCAGCCCACAATTCCTCAAATTGGTCCCATCTGTTATGTTATCTATCATTCCAGCTTAACTTTACCTTTTTTACTGGACAAGTGAAGCATCCTTATAAACAAAGCATTTTGCTACAACCATCTGCAATTTTTATTTTATATATTTGATTGTTGGCCTGTCTGGGTCTCAGAAACATCTCATGAATTTGGTGTGCAGATTTTTTTTAAACAAGTGTTGCATTTTTCCTTTGACTGACATCTGAGGCTGCCCACTAAAAATAATGCATGGAGCTGGGACTGAATTCATTTTGGTTTTAATTGAACTAAAAATATAGTTAATGAGTACTTTCTAGTAATGTATGTAATAATGTTTTCCCTCTATCATATTAAAATTACAATTTAGTAACAAGTTTTGGAGGTTTCTGGGATCTCTTGGGATGGCATAGAATTCTAGGGCATTATTTCTGTTGTAAGTGAAGAAGAGAGTAGAGTTTAATTAAAATAAATCTCAAAAAGGTAAATCTAAAACTTAGACAACTTGAGGTAGGAAGCTTATCTTTACTGGGGATATAAGAATATTTTGGAAGGAAGGTTAATCAGTAGAAACAAGTATTAGGCAACATGAAGACCATGCCAATTCTAAGGTTGACAACAAACAGACCTGACAACAGAATCCTTTATTTGAATTAGAGTATATTGGGATACCAGTAAAGGATAATATAAAACATTTAAACACATGAATTGTGAAGATTAGTACTCTCCAAAGCAGATTAAGAAGGGCAATCTGGATATCCCAAGACTACATAATATGTAGTTAGGAGATGGTGGCTTAAAGCTTATCCACCTGCATAACTAATAATTTTGCATAATATTCTGCATTAACATCCACCCTGCTTCCAGTCATAATGAACTGTACAAGATAACTATAAAGTTGTTATACTAACTTGCTAAGTTTCATTATGAAATAGCTGCAGTGGCTAAGCCCAAGGCCGCCTCCAGTATATTCTGCATTGATTTGGAAGGTACTGGGATAGAATGTTTTTCTGGTGTGGTTTGCTTCCTGGTATGGCTGAGAGAGAACTAAGCAAAGTACCTCTGGTAAGACAGATTCTAGCTTTCTAAAAAAAACATTAGGTCAGAAATATAATATAAACTAATATGAACAAAATTGAGCAGTTCTTTATAATAAAATTTTGATAGCATGGTGAAAACAATAAAAGCATTTTTCCATTTCAGCACTGTAAGTTTGTAGTGCTGAATGCTAACATTCCTAAACCAGACTGAAAACAGGGATGGGGTATGGATATTATAGTGACCTTGTAAAGTATGACTTTTAATGAGATTATGAGAGAGTACAACTTGGAATACACAATATTATATTGAATGCTATCCACAGACAATCTCCAGCATACTGGGATAATTAGATGGAAACTAGAGATGGTTACAACTTTATTTTTATCATCCAGGGCAATGTTTATGAGTGGGTTGAGTGAAAGCAAGCAAACGCATATTCATCTGAGGAATGTGGATGCAGCCACTTTACAGACCATAATAACTTATGCTTACACGGGTAATTTGGCAATAAATGACACAACAGTTGAACAGCTTTATGAAACAGCTTGCTTCCTACAGGTAAGATTGTTTTATACAAACTTTTCTAAGACATGTTTTCTTAAGTTGTATCTTTCATAAAATCTGATACTGACCACTTCATACACTTCCTTTGCTGGATAAAGACGTGGAAGAAAAATATCCATGGAAGCATTTTGCCTTATCCATTGTAAGGTATTCTACATTGAAGAACTTTGATTCTAAAAGAGCACTTGAAATTAAGGTGTAAAATAGATTTATACTATGCACTGTTATAAGTTTTCCAGAAAGAATCTGTATTGAAATACATTAAAATCACAAGTTCAGAATAATCAGCAAGTTCAGTGGGAAAAAAGGAAACAGATTCTTGAAGTTCCAACTACTCTGCTGTTGGAACAAAAAATTACTGTGCAGAATTCTAAAGATTTTGATGCCTATGACCCACAGTAAAAGAATATCACAACATCTCCCCTATTAATACAGAGATAATGGAAAGGTATTGCTCATTGAGAGGTTAACAGTCTTTTCAGTAATAAGAATGTATAGTGGAAATAGCTTTATTGGTACTAATTTCATTGTAACCAACTAAAATTTCATATTTCATAAAAGAGTAGACACTCTTGTATTACTTTGGATAGTTTGAGTAAAGGTAAGAACCTTAAGGTAAACTCTTGGACGAAGATCTTCAGAATATGCAGATATTGTGTGTTTTTCCAGACTTGTGCAGCTTCATTGTTTTCCCATCAAAGCAAAGTGAACATACATATATGTATGTAGATACAGCCAGGAGCAGTTTCCAAAGCAGCTGCACAATCCTATTCACTAGAGCAATGCAAAGCATTCAGAAGCGGTGCTTTACAAAGCACATTGGGATAAATTGAAGCACACCTCCTCAAAGTGTAAAAGCCATGAAAAGTTGAAGCACACCTCAGAGTGTAAAAGCGGTTCTTCAGAAGTCTCAACACAGCTTCTTTGAAGGCTTTCTCTGGTTGTCTGTGCAGTGGGACTGACAGCGAATCAAAATATATGCACACACAGCTCCTGTAATATTTCAAAAAAGGGTGCTGTGCTTGCATCAATGTACTTTGTAAAGTCCCCTTTTAGACACTGCACAGTATTATTACTTCCCAGTAATCAAGTTAATTTGGTCTCAGAAGGAAATTTGGGTAATTTCTCTTCTTTTCATAATCTGCCAGCTATAAACAGTACTAGATTAATATGTGATGGCCAGTATTTTGGTACATGAGAGAGGATAGAAATCTAGGGAAATTGTTACATTCCATTCCTTTATCATTAACCACAAGTATGAAAGCAGTGTTTTGATCACTTCTCATTATGTTAATTTTTTTCATTGCAGGTAGATGATGTGTTACATCGGTGTAGGGAATACTTAATTAAAAAAATAAATGCTGAGAACTGTGTGCGGCTTTTGAGCTTTGCTGATCTTTTCAGCTGTGAGGAGTTAAAACAGAGTGCTAAGAGGATGGTAGAACACAAATTTACGGTTGTATACCACCAAGAGGCTTTCATGCAGCTCTCACATGATCTGTTGATAGATATTTTGAGTAGTGACAATTTAAATGTGGAAAAAGAAGAGACAGTTCGTGAAGCTGCTATGTTATGGCTGGAGTATAATACAGAATCTCGATCACAGTATTTGTCATCAGTTCTTAGCCAGATAAGAATTGATGCACTTTCTGAAGTTACACAAAGAGCTTGGTTTCAAGGCTTACCACCGAATGATAAATCAGTCGTGGTACAAGGATTGTATAAATCTATGCCGAAGTTTTTTAAACCAAGACTTGGAATGACTAAAGAGGAGATGATGATCTTCATTGAAGCTGCTGCTGAAAATCCTGGTAATCTTTACTCTTCAGTATGTTACAGCCCACAGGCTGAAAAAGTTTACAAACTCTGCAGTCCTCCTGCTGATCTCCATAAGGTTGGGACACTTGTAACTCCTGATAATGATATTTATATAGCAGGTGGGCAAATCCCACTGAAAAATACAAAAACCAACCACAGTAAAACTAGCAAACTTCAAGCTGCCTTCCGTACTGTGAATTGTTTTTACTGGTTTGATGCTCAGCAAAATACATGGTTTCCAAAGAGTCCAATGCTGTTTGTTCGTATAAAGCCATCTCTTGTTTGCTGTGAAGGCCATATCTATGCAATTGGGGGAGACAGTGTTGGTGGAGAACTCAACAGAAGAACTGTGGAAAGATATGATACTGAGAAAGATGAATGGACCATGGTAAGCCCTCTACCCTGTGCTTGGCAGTGGAGTACAGCAGTTACTGTTCATAACTGCATTTATGTAATGGCACACAACTTGATGTACTGTTACTTCCCCAGATCAGATGCTTGGGTTGAAATGGCTATGAGACAAACTAGTAGATGCTTTGCTTCAGCTGCTGCTTTTGGAGATAAAATATTTTATATTGGAGGCTTGCACGTTGGCAGCAACTCTGGTATAAGACTACCTACTAGCACTGTAGATGGGTCTTCCGTAACAGTGGAAGTTTATGATGTGAATAAAAATGAATGGCAAATGGCAGCCAATATTCCTGCCAAGCGGTATTCTGACCCCTGTGTCAGAGCTGTTGTGATTTCTAACTCTTTGTGTGTCTTCATACGAGAAACTCATATGAATGAGAGAGCCAAGTACGCTACATACCAATATGACATGGAACTTGATCGTTGGTTCTTGCGACAGCATATATCTGAGCGGGTACTCTGGGATTTGGGAAAAGATTTTCGATGCACTGTGGGAAAACTCTATCCATCTTGTCTTGAAGAGTCCCCATGGAAACCTCCACCATATCTCTTTCCGCCTGATGGGGCTGATGAGTTTGATCTTGATGGGGAGATGGTTACACTGCCACCTGTATAGCTCCCATAATTCAGAGACTGCATGCCTGTAACAAATTATGAACATTCTATTTGAGAGAATAGGGCTGGAAAATGAAATGTTAAGCTGTCTTGTATGTATGCCCTATCCAATTTTTTTTTTGTGGCCATTGAGTGTAAATCAGTGAAAATTATTACTAGATATGCTTCCATAATCTGAAACAATCCCTCTGATAGTTGATGGGATCTCTCATATATATATATATATATATGTATATATATATGATCATATATATATATATGATCATATGTATATCTATATTTATCTACATATATATATCTTGAGCTTAAAGCCTCTGCTTATTGTCTAAATTTTTAGTCTTGTGAAAACATTTAGTTCTGGAACTTTTCACAAAGCAGCTTCTATTTCTAGGATGTTATATTAATTGCTCAAAGTATCTTCCAGTTATATTTGAATGAGTTCTGGAAATATCTGTATGTGCTAGTTATATAGATTGTGTGGCCTAATGGAATGTGCTGCAGTCAATACACAACAGCTGTGTTGGTGTAATAATGCCATGTAAAAGAATAAAATCCCATGGATCTACCTGTGGTAGGAAGGGTAGATCTTCCATTTTATGGTGACATGCAGGGCAAAATGACTGCAGGTTCAGTCAAGCTATATTATGATGATGATGATGATTAGGTGCATGTATTTTCACTAACTTATACCTGTCTATTTAGAATACAGGTCTTCCGAGCAGCTGGTAGTTTACCAGGTGTGAACTGACATTGCTGGGCTTGCAGTAAGAATTGCCAGCCCTTCCTAGTGCGGGTCTGTGTGGAGCTTTTGATCAGTAAATAGCTCCACATTCTGTATTTCAGAAACATTGGCTCATGAATATTACTTCCTGCTGCTTATTTTCCCCTGCCCCAGTATAAACAAAGGTATAGTGTGAATTAACCATGTCTTTATTTTTGTTAACTTAACAACATTACTGTAGTATGACTTTGTATAGATATCCTTACACTGTTTGTCTTTTTTTTTTTTTCCTCTGGGGTTGGGGGAGAGAAACTTTGTTCAGGAATACTTTGTGCAGAAGAGCAGTTGTCTGGTGCTGCTCTGGCATTAATCCCAGGAACCACTAGCAGTAGCAGAGCACCGCCAATCTCACATGAGCACAGGTGCTTCATGATGGATCATACTAGCATGTTCAGCTGCATCATGTTCTGGCACTGTATTTTGAATGATATTAATTTATTAAAAATGAATCAGTTTGTTCTTTTTTTCCCACAAGTCTGTGTATTTATATGGAGTCATTGAAGTATGATTGAAATAACATACTTTTGTAATTGATGTCTAATACATTAATACTCGGTAGCTTCAGCTGTTCAGAAAATCTGAAAAAATAGGAAATGCAAGAGTTCTATTTTTTTTTCACTACTTAATTTCAAATATAAACAAGAAATGCTTGAAGTCAAAAGAACAATAAAATATGGTAAAAGCCCTATATGTTAAAGACCATGCAGGTCTTTACACATAGGGCTTCTTCATTTCATTTCATTTTAATTTATTTACGGTCAAATACTAGCATGATGAGGGTGGGATGCAGTCAATTAAAAAGCATAGAAAATACATCAGAATCTAAATAATAATAATAAAAAGCTAAAAGATATAAAATAGAAAGTATATATCCAAAAGGAATCTAAAAAGAGGGGTAGGAGCATTAGATGGGTATAGGGGTATAGGGGAGCACAAAGGTTAGCATATGGCAGACTATTATCAAATTATAGAGTACTCTAAGTATGACAAACTAGATGCTCATTAAGGCTAGTTTATCATACAAGTCATCTTCAAAGGTAGCATTCAGTCTTATTAATATTCCATAAAACCACACTCATATAAATACAGTCCAACAGTATACTGAATTTTCCCATTTGCCTCTAGCCAATTCTTTTTTGCATCCTAGGATTCCTTACACCTTTTTGCTTTAATTCTAGTCAGTAGCTGTAAGATTTTCTTTAATCTTTGGAATAGACCTTAGTATCCCCTTTTGTCAATACCAAGTCTCTACAAACTAGGAGATTGACATTCAGCCCAAAATTGTAGATATTATATAAACATAGCAGCCAATATTGAGAATGGAACAGGAAGCATTTAGAACTTATCTTTCCTGTTGCCCTTTTTTCTGAATCAATTACTCATTCTTCAACAGCTTATTAAAAACTTTCTTTTTTGAAATGGCCCAATTGGTTAGGGTAGACTGTTGTAGCAAAACCTTCAGAATCTTGTGATTAAAGATACCACTCATTAATTACAGCATAATTTTCCATGAACATAGAACAGACTTTGTGAGCTTTTCAGTTTGTAAATCTGCCAAATAAAACTAAAGCTTGCAGCCTGGAAAATGAAAACAGAACACAAGGGTGGAATGGCAGAAGTTATAACAAATGATTGCAGAAACTTGTACATAAAGTAGGTGTCTTATACTTGAGCATGCTGGTATTGGATTAGAATATCATTCCATTTAAGAAGCATTTTATTCAGTATTAAATGCTGCTGTGTCCTTTGTTCTTTAATTTGGGCTTTTTTTGATTTTTTTGTCCCTGCATAATTCTCTGTGGAAAGGGACGGGTTGAGATTATGCTATTTTGCATACTCATTTAGATTCATGAGAGGTATATATGAAAAAAAATTGAAATGTTAAACTTAATATATGTAACATCTAATATCCTGTAGGAAACTACTCAGTTAAAATGTGCAACTGCTTTCTCAATATTCATAATGAAACTTTGTCAAATTTATTTAAATTACTTTTTAAAAATCACTTGTTAACCCACACTTCATTTAAAATTATCATTTTTTTTCAGTGACGAATAGGAACAGATTAAGAATTCTGTGACTCAGTAATCAGATTCTTGAATAAGATAATTCAGCAGGGATACATTTGAGCAGGACTTCCAGAATGTGTTCCAAAGAACTACAGGACTCTGTGACAACTTGATAGAAGTTTGTGAGAGATTAAAAGGGAAAAAGTTCACTTGAATGCTGCTAATTTTCTCTCATTGGAGCTTTGCCTCTTGATCAGGGATCGTGGGATTAAAAAAAACAAAACACCCTATGTTAGAGCAAGATCTGGTTGTATGCAGGTAACTTACCTTTTTGCAACCCCGAGGGCTTCTGACTGTGATAGCTAAAACCTGAGTGTCATACCATTTTGAGGTAAAACAACAAAGCTGTAAAAACTCAACATAGGTACATCCATTAAAATATCCTTCAGATATTTTTGTGGCTTACCTGTGCTTTAGAGGCTAATGTTTGTCTTCATAAACTTGTAAAGGGAGTATATACAACTAGGATCACTATTTTTATGGAAACTGACTAAGATTGCAATGCACTTTTTTCCTTTGTTCAGCAAAGCAGGAAAAAAATCAGTTTTTTAAAAATGTTGGTGTACCTGAAACTGCTCTATAACAAGTGTAAGAAGGCTGTAGTAGAGTAAGCTACCAAGAGAACAGCAAGGAAAGATAACAGAAGTAAAACAGGCATCTTCCAAGTTACCTAGAGGATAAGGTAAGACTTAAAGCACTTTGTGGACTTGGTGTTTTCAATCCTTATTGCACGGGCAAAATAAGAAGCAGTATTTGCCAATAGCTACAATTAAAACATCATACATATTCAATAGAAAAAAACGAAGGACTTTTTGGTCATTAAAATCCATATCTACAGAAGAGCATTAGAGTTTTCCAGACTACCAAAAAAACAAAACAAAACTAAAGTGTAAAGTATTTTAGCTGTTCACTTTTTTCTATTTTTTTGTAGCCTGCATAAGACAGATCTGAAACTCTACAAGTTCAGAGGCTTTTACTTGCTGTTAATCATCGCTCACGTCAAGTCTGCTCCTGATGTTTCCACGTAGCAAAAATAATTGTAGGCTTGTACTGAAATCCGTGTGCCATATTTGGTTACAGTATGTTTTCCAATTAACATGTTTTCAAAATACCTTCAAACAAAAATAAGATTACTTTTATTTTGTTTAGGATAAAATATACAGATGCATTAATAGTCTCTCTTGAACACAAACTTATTCTTTGTACATCAAATATACATTTAGAATTCTCTTTTAGAACTGATAATGCTTCCAACTTTTTGCTGCTATGTTGCATTTCACTTCAGTTAACTCATGATTGGACACCTAATTAAATTTGTATGTCCAGAAGCTACTTTGTGATCCTAATGACTTCTAAATTAGATAAGAGGTTTAAGTATTTATAACTTATTTCATTTTGTAATGTGATACACATTTCCAAATGCTTGAAAAATGTTTTAAAAATTAAAATCAATATGTTGTGTATAATGCAAATATATAATTTCACAGTAGAAAGCCCCAGTGCATAAAACAAAAATACTTTAAAATAGCAAGAGACCATAAGCCTGATCCTAAACATATTTGTGTAGAAGTAATAATGTATTCAGAAACTCAGGATTTCAAGGTGTATTGTTTGCACAGACTTACTGCTTTTACATGTGAGTTTTATTTTCACATTTTTCTGTTCCGTAGAACAAGGCATGAAAGACCATCTCATTTTAGTCATGTGAAAATTTCATGTATTTGAGTTGCAGACTCATTCCGTGCCACAACAAAAGTAAGATCCATGTGGTATAAACCATTCCATAAGACTATCACTAACTGACACCTAGATTAGGTTTTATTTTAGTTTTAAGATCTGTGTAATAGTAAAAGATCAAAGTAAGGAATTAAAAATGGAATTGGAAGAGTAAACTACATTTTTTGTGACCCCTTATCAATGAATGACAATACTACAGGAATATACTGTAGATTGACTGATTGTGTGCGTGTGTAAAAATAAAACTTCGGTGCTTTCTTCCTCTGAAGTACTTTAAGCAAAGCATCTTTTTAATATACACTTCCTACTGAGAAAGTTTAAAAAACTCTACCCAAGGCTCAAACTCCAGTGGAGAAGTTGTTATTGGCTTGAACACAAAGATACACTGTTGATATTAAATTTGAATGGCTTTTTTTTATATACCACTGAAGCAAGGTAGTTTTGAAATATCAGTGCAGCCATTAAAGAGATATCTTGGACTACCTTAAACTTTTCAACAAAATTATGCAACACAGTGTTCCTATCCCAATTTGTTCACAGGTTACTTCCACAGAACCTGAAATACCTCTTTATAACCACCAGATTATACATAAGGGATCAGATACTGATAAATGATGACTTTAAATATTTTTTAGTTTAACTGATATAACGAATAAATATTTTTTCTTAAATTCTTTGTGAAGTAACTTAAGATGGCATATATTATAAATACTTGCATAGTGGAATATCAGTTTTAACCATTACTACTTCTTGTTTCAAAAGATTTTGGTAATCTTTCTGTATAAACAGGATGTATAATCAAACAGCTCCCAATGAGGGAATCAAAACAAAGTTGTATTATGTCATGGTAGAATTTAAAACTCAAAAGCAACTCCAGTGTATTTGATTTATATTCCTCCTTTCTGTTCAAAATTAATTATTCATTAGAACAAGTACTTTCAGTGTACTTACACTACAGTGAATAGCACAGCATGTCCATCTATCTGTAATTTCAGTTCAGAATTGATAGCTTTAGAGCAAGTTCTCATGGTAAAAATCCTTTGTAAGCATTGTTAACAGTTATAGAACGGAACCATAGTTTAGGTGCTTACTCAAGTTAATGCCCAACAGAACACCTTTGTTTGACAAACCGTGATATTGGCTACATTTCAGTTATCAAAATGTTTGGAAGGAACAATTAGCTTTTTTTAAATGGAACCTGCAGTCCTTTGTAGACGTTTACCACATTATGCAGTAGTGTACCTATGAAACAATCTATTTAATCAACTTTCATGAAGGTAACACATGCATACTTGGTGTGCCAAAACTGGCTACTAATTTTCACAAAGTTGACACAGAAGTGGATATTTACAGTAGCCATAAACTAATATATATCATAAGAAAAATATTACAGTACAAGCTTTCAAGATGGAGCTTTAACCAGAACTTCCACTGGCCTCGGATAATGTAGCCAATCATTAAAGCAGTTACATCAATTAAAAATCTAATATCAGAATTGTGACACAGCACAGCAAATAGAAAGGAATGCCGGAAGTACAAATTTGGCAACATCTGGAGGAGCAGACATTCTCATCCCTGCTTTATAGGAAAGTTATGGAAATTACTTATAACTGCTTATTATATTTGGAATATATTTGAAATAAAAACTATTTGGAAGGATACAACTGCATTTCCCCTTAAATTGAGAATATGAGAATCTCTGACTACAGTAAGCTAGACCAACTGCAGCAGAGAAAGAAATAAGTACTACTAATATTAATTTTCAGTTGTCTAGAAATCTCATAAATAATCTATTTGTGTTAACCACCTATGCATTCCTCCTACCATTGCATCAAGTCCGAAAAGGAAAATCAGCAATTGTGACAAAGAGACTATTTCAAAATAAAAATGGTCCAAAAACAAACAACATTTTGGTAAGTCATTGCTCTAAACTGAGCCAGGTTATGTTCTCATAGGCATCAATGAGATCACACTTTTCTCTCAAAACGTGGTAGAATGAAATAAACGTGTGTGTACAGATAGATAGATAGATAGATAGATAGATAGATAGATAGATAGATAGATAGATAGAAAAATTCTTTGCTAACACACACTGAACTAAAAATGTTATAGCAGCTGTGGAAAAAAAAAAGTACTGCTGACTTTGCAGTGGAGCCGAATTGCTAGAGAGGTAGGTACTATTTAGGTATTGAGACATTTTTAAATATAGAAAAAGAGCATGAAATTGCAGTACATCCTAATTAACAAAAGAACAGTAGTTTCACCTACACAGTGAAAAGTTAACTTTTTTCTTCCAAGCGGCTTCCCAGACAGGTAAGGAAATAGTTGGAGAAATTGTTTTAAAATTAACTAATCCTGAAATAGTTGTCACCTAAATGATGAAATGATACAAAATTACCAAATGCTGTTTTAGCCTTTTTAAGAGGCTTTGAGTATTTTAAGTCTGCTAATTTAAATCCCATTAATTTCATTTTATCCCACTTAGAATTACTTCCATTTGCAACATGTTTGTGGAAATATATTCTATTGAAATGAACAACTTAATTCTGCACATTAGACTTGCAAGGGGAAAGATGGATAGATTTACAAATACACACATTTGAATACATTTTTATGCATTAGATCTTGAAATATTACCTTCATATACCACTATTGTGTTACATACTGAAATATAATTCAGTTCTTTAAGAAAATGCTAGACAATTTAATGTTTGTGGAAATATATTCTATTGAAATGAACAACTTAATTCTGCACATTAGACTTGCAAGGGGAAAGATGGATAGATTTACAAATACACACATTTGAATACATTTTTATGCATTAGATCTTGAAATATTACCTTCATATACCACTATTGTGTTACATACTGAAATATAATTCAGTTCTTTAAGAAAATGCTAGACAATTTAACTTAAAATACAGCTAAATTGACATCAATCACCACCCTCCAAAATACATTGGAAAATAAACCATGTCCTACAACAAGGCTTATATATAAAGCAAGGAAGTATTAAAGCAGTTGCCAAATTATATCCTGTGGTACAGCTCAATGGCCATTCATCTTCATGCTGCTTGAATTCAGGCGCCTGTTCATTTGGAGCAAAGCCTTTTGGTTTCTTAAAAGAAATGCAAGAGCTTGGTCCAGAATGATTATTCCCCAAGGCTTTGAGTAGACTGAGTGAAAGTAGAAAGCCATGAAGACATTGCTGATTTTGCACTGGTGAGTGCTCCTCCAACTGACTGACCTGTATTATAAAACAAAGGACCAGACAGAAGGAGGGAAGAAAAAATTAGGTAAAATAGAAAGAATAGATTAAGAGTATATGTCAATCTCCCTGGATAATAATAATACTTTACTGATTAGCCATTAGGCCATATCAGAGTACAAAATATAGAATGATGATAAGACCATGTGTAACCAAGTAGAAGCAAGCATGGAATAGAGCTGGGTTGTTTGAGGTACTGCCTCTCTCCAATCACATCTACCTGTCCCATCAGGTCTGGCAGGAAGGACATGTTGCAGGTCCCATATGTGAAGGAACATCATCTGGTGGGACCCAAGAGGAGAGCCTTTTCTGCCATGACACCCACCCTCTATAACATCATTCCCCCTGAAGTCAGATTGGCCCCAACCTTGATGGCCTCCAGGAAGGGGTTGGAAACATGGCTTTGCCATCTGGCCTGGGCATCTGGTGACATGGGTATGGAGCCTACCAAGTGGCTGTATTGCTAGGAAAACAGTGTATTCTACCAAAGATTATGGGGTATTTTAAAATATTTTTTTAAAATTGTTTTAATTTTTAAACAATTTTTGTTATGTTTTTGGTTATTTTGTTGTATTCTTTTTGTATTTTAAACTTTGTATGCTGCTAAGAGTCACATATGTGAGATGAGCAGTCATATACATTTACCCAATGAATGAATAAATAAATAAAAGGCAGAACTAAAAGGAAATACAAATCAGATTTCTGTGTCACCCCTACAATTTACCCCACTCACATCCACATATGTGCTTCTCAATTGTACTGTTTTATTCAGATAAAAGGCCATGTTGTATATGGTATTTGGGTTCTGACTGCACATGAAATATGTTGTTTTAATATATGGATCCCAATAGGCCATTTGTCTAATATGTGATCCAAGTTATTGATCTCTTTCTTTCTTATACAATTGGCATTCAAATAATATATGAGTTATGACCTGGAGCAAACAAATACAAATATGTTTGTCGTAAGGAATTTGGTTAAACCTTCCATATTTAACCATTGTGTCCAGCTGCTCAAATCCCACTGGAGAAATATCCCCCTAAGATGCTTGGGCATTTCTATATTTAAATATTTTACAGTTTGGAAGGTGTGTTTATAGCAGCTCATCCATTTCAATGTGCTGAGGGTAACTATATTGCTCTGAGCTTCTATATTCAAAATTCTTTGTTTTCCAGAGATAGTTGGGCAAAAAACAGGGAGACCACAATTCCTGATATAGTTTGTGAGTTGTGTACTTCAAGAGTTCTCTAACTGAAACTCAGTCTGTTCTATCAGACACAATTTTGGGAGTCTGCCAGTTTCCACAGCATTGATTTTATTGTATACCCTGATTTTAGACAAAGAATAAAGTGTATAAATTCCCAATTTAGCTCTAAGTGCAGCAGCTGAGGTCCTTTTATCCACACTCAAAATACTTCTCAGATGTTGTGATTGTGTTTACTCTATAATGGTGTGTGTTTTACTTCAGCTCCGTATAGCAAGTATAGGGGTAACTTTGGCTTTGTATACCTTAATAATTATGGCTAAAGAGCATGGATAACAGTCATTTATTAATTTTAACAATAAATTCATACGTGCCCTTGCTCTGAGTGAGCAACTTTGATGATGAGGGAGCCAAGATCCAGTCTTGGAGAAGACTGTTCCTAAATAAGGAAAGGAATTGACTCTATTGACTCACCATCTAATAGCCATCTATGGCTGCAATGTCATTTTCCAAAAGTCATGATCTTTGACTTTGATTTATTAATGACTAGAGAATTATTATGATAGTAGAAGTCAAGTCTTCTTAACAACCTATGTAGCCCAACTTGCAAATATGATACTGGAATCATATTGTCGGCTTATAGCAAAGTGTTGCAATGAGAGTTTAGTACCTTAGGCAAGTGTATTTCAGGCTCCTTCATCGGTCCTGGTAAGTCATTAATATATAGATTGAATAGCAGTGGTGCAAATATGCACCCCTGACTTACTGCTTTGTAAGTATTAATCCTGCTTGTCATGGTTGCATTGACTCCAAACTGTACTCTCAAGCAGGTATTTGTGTAAAAGGCTTTGATCAGTGCAAGCAGTCTGGGTTCCATATTGAAAACAATCAATTTCCACCATAACGTTTCTCTGTTAACTGTGTCAAATGCTGCACTAAGGTCTATAAGCCCAGCAAACAGTTGTCTTCCCTTGCTGACATATTTAGTAATTAGATGGTTCAAATACAAAGCAATTGTCAATAGTAGATCAATTCTGTCTAAAGCCAGATTGTTCTGTGAGACCGAGATAAAATGGCCTTTATTCCTAAAGAAGTTGTAACATAAGTTTGCTATACATAGGACTGCTCCTCTACGCTTATATTTTAATTTGCTGTAGAATATTTGTTTGGCTTTTGGTATTATATGTGACCTAAATGGTTAATTAATTTCCTGGGTTAAAAAAGATCTTTTTGTAAAAAATTTGAACTTCTGGTTCAGCAACAAATAATATTTTAAGGCTGGCCAAGGCAAGGACATTCTGCAGTTGTGGAGCTAAGAGCTTTTCCCCAATCTCCTGTTTGCAAGCCTGAATAAGATTCAGTTGGCTAGGTTTATACATAATGCTAAGCCATTAACCATACCAATTTCATCAGGGCCTAGTGGGATGCATAGCCCAGCCACTGAATTTGTAGCATACTGATTTCCAGTTACAGGATCACTTACCAACAGCTCTTCCTGTCTGCACAACATTTCGACTGGTAGTAACCATGGCATTTCCAAACTTCTTACCACGTTCACTGTTCTGAACAGAGCTAAATAAAGAAATATAATAGCATTGTCCTACTGGTTTCTTCTAATGTCAAGTGTATAATTTTGATAATATCAATTAAGCATAATTAAATTGAAACACTAATTTATGTTGCAGATATTTAGCACTAGAATGTGTAAGATACTTTGCATTTGAAATATTTTGAGTCTAAAAATGGTTGCTCCATTTTGGAAGTGTTTGGAACTCAACCCACTGCTGTTTCAAACTTAGAATGCTTCCGTAAGATTTGGACATTATTTTTATTTCTAATTATTTCTAAAACTTTTTGTACGTGCCTATTTAGCATTATCTGATAATCAGCTCTCAAAACATTCTGAAATTTTCATAAAATGTTGGGCATTGATCAATCCATTCCACTTTTTAAGCCAAGATTGCCACAACTGAATAATATACTACATACATTTCAACTGGGTATGAGTTTAAAAACATAAGCAACACTTACTGTGATAATCTTAATTTTACATCAGAAACAGAGTATTGTCCCTGGAATGGATGACTAAAAAGGGAGGGAGAGCAGAAGAGATAGAGAAAAAAAGAAAGAACGAAAGATAAGCAGGCAAGCCATTTAAAATACTTTCTTAGCTATAATATAATTATCAGCCATTATCTTTAGGTGGGATGGGGTACATTAAAACATTTTTGTCCCTTTTCTAATATGTGTAGGATTCAGTGATCTAAGTGTTTCTAGTCCCCAACAAGTAACAAAAAGTTACTTCCTGGCCATGATGCTGCTGTTTAAGTAACTGGCTATGTACTATTAAGGACAAATCAGGAATAACTTTTGTCATATTTGCAGAATGCTCCTCAGCTGAAAAAACAGAGGAAGAGTTCTATCACCAATGATTTTAAGTAAATAGATCCCTAAATTATCAAACGTTTCTCTTCTTTATCACCATCACCTACATTTTCTCGCTTCCATATAAATTGTGACATATTCTTACCTAGGATTTACTTCTGCGAGGGCTGGGTGTTTATTACTGTTCCACACTCTATAATTATGAGTATTCTTCCAAGCTGCTACAAAGGCTGTTCCAAAGTCAGACAATATTTTCTCACTATCTGCCAAATGAAATGGGTAAAGTGATTGGATTGCAATACCTTCTATACTATATGCATACCTAGTAGAATATGCTTTGTTCTTAAAAAAACAAAAGAATATACGCTTTCTGCTTGGTGGAAGACTAGGTTTATTCCCAGAGGGGCTAATTTTGAAACGGAAGAGCAATCTGAGATTTGCTGAGAAAACAGGAATGAAGGCAGATGATTTTTTTTCTATGTAATCTTCCTTTACTTCCTTTAATTAAAGTAATTAATTTCTTTAATAAGGAGGGGGCAGAACCAACTTAAATTGAGAATTTAAATAAATTGAGCATTTTATTTCACTTGGGCAGCATAAATGCAACACAAGACTGATGGATACAGAAGAATCTACAGTCAGGAAGGAACAAAGCTGCTTGAAAGAGTTGGTAGTCTTTTTTTTTATGGCTGTATTGTCTTCCTGCATACTCCAAAATATGGATGATTTAATTCTAAATTATACAGATGATACCATGCCACTGAAAACAGTTTCTTCTTTGAAAGACCTACTGTCCATGACTCCCTACCAAAACAGAAATGAGACAGGAGTGAATTCTGGGATGTAATAAGCAAGGGCATAAATGTATCCTCACTTTAAAAAGCAAGCAGTTCATTTTTATTTTACAAAATTCAAATCACCCATTTTTCCTCCCAAAAGAATATAAATCTCCAAGCAAAATAGGAAATTGTGTTGTGCAATTATTCCATTGGACTTGAAAAACTGAAGAGTTTCATTTCAAGTACCCTGAGCATAATCTCTCTCAGCACAAAGCTCTTTAAAAGGAGCTTTAAAGTCATTTTAATTCTGCCATCTTTTCTAGTGTAAATCCAGTATTGCTGTCACAGAAAATATAATCCTTTTCTTTAAGCCTCAGACCCTTTCTGGTAAGGATTACAAGTTAAAGATACAGACTTAACACTAAGAACAAATGCACTGAAATCAGTGGAAAAGTTAGTCATAACAAACTTGAATTCCAATTTCAGCTGGTCTACTCCAAAGGTTTTAACTATGATTAAATCTAGATTAATCCAGTGAAGGCAAGAATTTGAAGACTAGATTGCAAGGGCAGCTGGGATGAACTTTGTGCAGAACACTGAAGTATTCTGCCTCTCATTAGCACAACACAATGCCACCCCTAGCTTGTGCCCAATCATTTAGCTTCTAAAAAGTCATTTTCAGGCTATACAAGCCATACAGGAGACATCCAACTTTCTGAATAGCAACTGATAGACTAATGAGTCATGAGAATACATAAATGAACAATAATTTTTAACAAGGCAACACGAGTATCAATCTATAACTAAGCTGGCCAGATCCTACTCCTTGGATTTTTCGACCCTTCCTAGATCCTCTTGGATAACTGTCATAAAGTATTTTGTCCGATTGTTTAAACTTTAAATAAAATGACAGATAAAAATATTCCAGAACTTACCTGGCTGTACTGTAGCAGCAAGTAGGGCATGGAGATATGACCCAAACTGGGCTCGAATCCACTCATCCCCTCCTTCCCAGCCAGTGCCATCCAGGAAGACATCATCCCTGTTATCAGTTACATGCTTCACTAAGAAGTCTGCAAATCTCAGGTCAGCTGTTGTAGGATTTAAGACCTTCCTAAGCTCTGGATCATGGATTTGGACAAGAGCTTCCTCAATCTGATTGAGAATAATTCAAAGTGAAAAAAGTCTGGGGGGGGGAAGGGGGTCGAAACAAATAACAGGAACTGTACTCATAAACTTAGGCTAGTTATTTCCATCTTACCAAAAACTATGATATCCAGTACTATAATATTTGGACATGAATGCATATCTAATTAATGTAAATGTTTATGCTGGCTTCTCTATTTTATAGTGTATATAATTATTTGCAGTTATTGACTATTTTCAATTTCTAAAAGTAAGCAAGCCTTTTCTTTTGCCTTGTATGGAAGGATTTCTGACTGCATCAGGAATGGGAATTCACTGCTACTCCAGGCAACCAGATTCTCCTGTGTTCACATCCAGTTCTACTAAATGAAGAACTGGATAGCTGGTGGTAGTGTGGAGGCTCTCAAAGAAATAGTAGCTATCCGAGAGATTAACTATTCAAGGAGTTGTGAAAGCTTACTTTAAGCAACAACACATCAGAGCTGTAATATGTCAACTAGCTCCTAATTCAGTCTTTTTAAAGAAGATCTTTGTTTGGAAAGGCCCATTAGTTTAATTTTGGTATTTCAATAGTAACTTAATGCAGCCTTGAAAATAATTTTTAAAATGTGTTCACTGCCTATTATTGACAAATTTACCTATAAAAAGAATCATACACACATGCGCACACACACAAGTAGTGGCTGGATAGCGTAGTGGTAAGAGCACTGCCCTTTGATGCGGGATACCGGGGTTCGGTCTCCCGCATCAAAGGGAGACTGAACCCCAGTTGGTACCTACCTTACCAATAGGGGCCCTCGGGCGAGGACCTCCTAACACTTCACCTGCCTATCTCGAATATGAGAGTGACATGAAGTAGGAGAGTCATGCCGGCTCAGAGGTTGCCTGGAGTAACAAGGTCCGCACCAGATGTTGGGGAACCAGAACAATCTGACAATAAGTGGGCTACTGGAACAAACCATACACGGATGAGACACGAGAATCTGGAATTGGTGGAATGCTACTAGAACAGTAGACCTAATGAGAGGGGATATATGAAATGTATGAAGGAACTACGGATGGACAAAAGACCTACATACACACTAACTGAAAAACAGCATGTTACCCAATGCTTCAACATAGTGAAAAGGAAACTGCTCTCACAGCTTGAGGTAAACCAGCTACACATTACATCCCCGACTCAAGTAGAACAACTGGCTGTGCAGCCAACATCTGAAGCTGGAATGTCACTGCCACCCCCTCCATTACAGAGCACAGCATCTGATATGAGGCATAAGATCATGGAAAAACTAGCTACAGTCAACCCTTGAGACTGATTACCAAGGCTCAGTGGAGAAGTACCATCAGATAGTATGCTAGAAGATGCCATTAGATCCCTCATGACAATCCCTACTACCACCATAACTCAAACCAATGAACTGATATTTGCTACAGCTGCTGTAATCCTGGAAATGCTTGGCT